AGTACAAGCAGCCACACAAACACACACACGTACATGCACGTCGCTATATAAGTGCAATAATCTTGGACGCGACGTTAAACCCCATTTCACCTCACCTCACTACCTTGACTGTAGGGCCCACATGTCTTGTTTTAACCCCTCATGGCTCCTAGCTATCTACAATTCATTATGCTATGCGATACGAAGAACAATATTTCGACCAGTCTTGGTTTCAAAGTTATGCACACATGGTATAAAACCCGATCCGATGCCCACACAGAGCACACGTGTGTTTGGACTAGACATTTTGACCTGTCTCTCAAACTATTCCTGGCACGCCGACACAAACTGGCACGTGTGGTACAGGAACAGCGGCCTCTTAACTGCGAGCTACGCTTCCATACCGTTCATGAAAAAATATCGCTGCTAGGAGCTCACTGAAAATACTTTTTTTTTCCAGACAACTGGTATGTTTTTTGAGGCGCTGGTGTGGAAGAGGTAAAATGACACTAGCACCCATCTGCCGGCTAAAGTAGTCTGCAGAAACACGAGCATAAACATGCACACTACATCAGTAGACCATTAGTTGACGGAGATGAAAGTCAAAAGGTTCCGGTGACTTACCACTCACAGCATCGCATTTCCAAAACACAATTATTACCAATTTACAAAGACCATATAACGTATTTACAGAAAATACAGCGGATTTGTTCCAAGTACTTGCATTATTTGGCCGTCACTGTAGATGCTGTCGATGCAAATGTGGACGTATACCTGTACGGCATTCCTTTTACAAATACTCGCTTAGTTGTTAGGAAAGTCACTCAGAATTATGTCATGATACAAGGATTCTAATTTTGACGCAGTTATGAATATTGGTCGGTCAGCACCTTCCCCGTGCACGTATATAGCCACAGCTTTGGGGATGCGGGGTATTGAGGTGGTATGCTTCAAAATATAAATGAATTAAGTTTTTTATCCGACATCGTACTTTTGAACTGGTCCCTATATGTCTACAGCTTGCGCCACTCAGACTGGTTTCCCTAGGTAAGCTGCGCTTGCGCTAGTAAATGGTTTTCACAAAGCCACAATAAATCCTTATTTTCACAAAGCCTCAATAAATCCTTATTTTCACGATGTCTCAATAAATCCTTATTTTCACAATGCCTCAATAAATCCTTGATTTCACATTGCCTCAATAAATGCTTATTTTCACGATGTCTCAATAAATCCTTATTTTCACAATGCCTCAATAAATCCTTGTTTTCTCAATGCCTCAATAAATCCTTATTTTCACACAATGTCTCAATAAATCCTTATTTTCACGATGCCTCAATAAATCCTTATTTTCACAAAGCCCAAATAAATCATTATTTTCATGATGTCTCAATAAATCATTATTTTCACAATGCCTCAATAAGTCCTTGTTCTCACAATGTCTCAATAAATCCTTATTCTCACAATGTCTCAAAAAATCCTTATTTTCATGATGTCTCAATAAATCCTTATTTTCACAATGCCTCAATAAATCCCTTTTCTCACTATGTCTCAATAATCCTTATTCTCACAACGTCTCAATAAATCCTTATTCCCACAGTGTCTCAATAAATCCTTATTCCCACAATGTCTCAATAAATCCTTATTCTCACAATGTCTCAATAAATCCTTATTCTCACAATGTCTCAATAAATCCTTATTCTCACAATGTCTCAATAAATCCTTATTCCCACAATGTCTCAATAAATCCTTATTCCCACAATGTCTCAATAAATCCTTATTCTAACAATGCCTCATTAAATACTCTTTTGACAATGCCTCACCCTCTATAGTTTAGTGAACCAGCATTAATTAAAGTAAAAAGTAATTAAATTACATTAACATTGCGAACATGATTCAATTTGTATTACTTATGAATTCGTTGGTTACCCATGGATACGCACTCAATCTCATCTTTCTTCATCTTCCCGAGGAAAGGGAATAACTGACTTAAAAAGTGTCAGTTTCCACCCTTGCCAAACTAGGCGGGAATTTGTTATGGAGTTATGTTTTGACTGGACTATCGCGAAATCGGCATCTATTTCGTAAACTGCCGTGCAGACTTCGGTCGATTGTAGGATTTGCAAAATATGTATAACGTCAACTGCGCGTCGACAGGTATTTTCCAAATCTGTTCATGTTTTCAATCAAGGCGCTAAAGTAATTTGATGCACTTCGCAAGATAAGACCCGTTTTGTTACAATACAGATCTTGATTGCCGAGCAGACCGTTTTGACTGGTCGCCGCCATTTTGTTTGAAGCAAATGTAGGTTTTGTTGATTTCTATATCCCAAAAATGTTTTGTTTGTTTGTTGTTTAACGCCGCACTCAGCAGTATTCCAGCTATATGACGGCGGTCTGTAAATAATCAAGTCTGGACCAGACAATCCAGTGATTGACAACATGAGCATCGATCCACGCCATTGGGATCGATGACATGCATCAACCAAGTCAGCGAGCCAAACCACCCGATCCCGTTCGTCATGTTAGTCGCCTCTTACGACAACAATAGTCGCCTTTTACAGCAAGCATGGGTTGCTGAAGACCTATTCTACCCCGGATCTTCAAGGGCCACAAATGTAGGCACTATGATAGGTGGAATCTGATTGGTCAGTAAGAGGGACATTGACGGGACATAACTCGAAATAGCCACAGGTTCCGCTACTGTCGAGCCATGAAATTCCAGCCTAGTGCGGCAAGATGACCCTTCTTTTGCCAATATCTTTTTTTATTATATTTAGCATAGCTGTTAAACAATATTTGAATTACTGAGAAACAAATGAACCTGAAATGTAACATTTGAGCAAAAAAACAAAAACAAAACGCATTATGAAATTCGACCAATAAAAACAAATTAAAACGATGCTTATAAAGAAATGAATTTAGATTGGTTTGGCAAATAAGTGTGTGTGTGACGGACGGGACAGGTGATTTGAGTAGAGGCTCGCCTGAAATATTACTTGGCAGCTTTTTCGAGCACTGATGACAGCACTGGAACATATGCCAATCTCCGCATCACCTGTTTCAACTCTAGTAGCGCCTCTAGCTCAAAGAAAAGGTAGCGCCACGTCTATCGTAGCCCTGAGATCCCTTCGGGAAACGTCGCTGGCATCTTCATCAACACACTATCTTCTGCTTGATCATGTCATTATAAAGGAAAATCAATTTGTTTAACATGGAATGAGCAAAGATTTAGCATATGTCTCGGGAGGATTTAGGCCTTAGACCGCCTGTTAACTTCAGCGACGGCCTCCAGCACACTACAGACAGGGACATTATATAACATAATATATTATACTTTCAGTGTATGTGAAGCCAGGTGTTGTGCGAAGTAATCAATGCAGCAAAGCCCGTCTCGACACACAGTCTGGCTGCTACAGTCATTCTTGTATAATTAGTGAGCAATGGTTCACACTGTGGAATTGCAGATATTTATGTCGGCCTTTCTCCGAAACTGAGGTTTGAAATTGCAGGAACCTGATATGTTTTCCCTATCTTTTCTGGGAGGTTTCGTGGCATTGAATGGAATATCGCGTGTTAAAAATAGAAACGATTTTCAAGCAAAAGTTCTTTTTTGTATATCTATGTGTATATCAATGCGTCCCCAATGAACCGTTCTTGGCGTATATCCATGCATTATCAAAAAACTGTTCTTTACGTATATCCATGCATTATCAAGAAACTGTTCTTGAAGTATATCCACGCATTATCAAGAAACTGTTCTTGAAGTATATCCATGCATTAATCAGAAACTGTTCTTTACGTATATCCACGCATTATCAAGAAACTGTTCTTGAAGTATATCCATGCATTATCAACAAACTGTTCTTGAAGTATTTCCATGCATTATCAAGAAACTGTTCTTGAAGTATATCCACGCATTATCAACGAACTGTTCTTGAAGTATATCCATGCATTATCAAGAAACTGTTCTTTACGTATATCCACGCATTATCAAGAAACTGTTCTTTACGTATATCCACGCATTATCAAGAAACTGTTCTTGAAGTATATCCATGAATTATCAAGATACTGTTCTTGACGTATATCCACGCATTATCAAGGAACTGTTCTTGAAGTATATCCATGCATTATCAACAAACTGTTCTTGAAGTATATCCAAGCATTATCAAGAAACTGTTCTTGAAGTATATCCACGCATTATCAAGGAACTGTTCTTGAAGTATATCCACGCATTATCAAGAAACTGTTCTTGAAGTATATCCATGCATTAATCAGAAACTGTTCTTTACGTATATCCACGCATTATCAAGAAACTGTTCTTGAAGTATATCCATGCATTATCAAGAAACTGTTCTTGAAGTATTTCCATGCATTATCAAGAAACTGTTCTTGAAGTATATCCACGCATTATCAACGAACTGTTCTTGAAGTATATCCATGCATTATCAAGAAACTGTTCTTGAAGTATATCCACGTATTATCAAGAAACTGTTCTTTACGTATATCCACGCATTTTCAAGAAACTTTTCCTGAAGTATATCCATGAATTATCAAGATACTGTTCTTGACGTATATCCACGCATTATCAAGAAACTGTCCTTGAAGTATATCCATGTATTATCAACAAACTGTTCTTGAAGTATATCCATGCATTATCAAGAAACTGTTCTTGAAGTATGTCCATGCATTATCAAGAAACTGTTCTTGAAGAATACCCATGCGTTGCCAGCAAGCTGTTCTTGACGAACACCTATGCATTGTCCATACATTCATTATCAGCAAGCTTACATTCACGCCCAGTCTTGAAAATCAAAACCTTTCTTGCAATGATAACACTGTATAGGTGATTACGAGAATCGCACGGGTGTATTATTCTATGGGGGGTGTAGCCCAATGGTTACCTCGTTGGCTCGTCCCGCCGAAGACCCGGGTTCGATTCTCCACATTGGTACCTGTGATGCCCCCAGTTAAGCGCAGCGTAAAATACAAGACATTAACCTCCGATCTACCCATTAGTAATTATGCTGTTTTCATTTCAGGGCTTGGGCCTAAACATCTCGTCTATTCTGGTAAGTTTTCACACAATATATTCCCACTGCACCATATCTGATAGTATTGAACCTCTGTCAACGATCTGTCACTTTGGGCGTTCGTCAGACATCAATATGACGTTCAAATGTTTATTGTATGGCCATTGTATGGCCAAATACACGAAGTGTATATTGTACAGTGCTGGATCATTATATAAATAGATTCACGTTTAAATACATTTCTGCTCTTGGAGGCATACTTGAAATATAACATGACTTATTTTAAATCTTGATGACTTGCGATTGCCATTAGGCGAATAAATTGTAAGACTGAAGGTCAAATTACATATTTATTTGGTATGTATTGTTTTCGAATGTCCGTTAAGGACGTGTATATGATGGTGGACATATGAACATGCTGTGATAAAATAACTGAAATACTGTTCAAAACGTGTTAAACCATTCACACCTTTACTTCTTTTGTTGTAAGATTACGTAGTCGAGCTGCACCGAGGAAAATATTTCTGTTTAGTTTAGACGCATAGACAACGAATCCCACATGACAAGGGGCGGTCGGGTAGCCTAGTGGTTAAAGCGTTCGCTCGTCACGCCGAAGACCCGGGTTCGATTCCCGACTATGGGTACAATGTGTGAAGCCCATTTCTGGTGTCCCCCGCCGTGATATTGCTGGAATATTGCTAAAAGATGCGAAAAACCATACTCACTCACTCACTTACTCACTCATGACAAATAATCTTCACGATAATGTTGATTTTATACTCACAGTTGACAGTTTTGTTATGTATTATCGAATCAGAAGTATTCAATATCATTTTCTCTAATGCTACAGATTTTCTCATGAACCGCTTATGCCCTCTTGCGTCGATTTCGCAGTATATATTTTTAATTTCTGCTTTCTCACAGGTGCCCCCGTACCTGCGGCAGGTGGGCGGGGAGGCCGGATCAACTGACCCCAGAAACTATGAAGGGTTCATGAAGGATGTCCTGGACGAGATGGGTAAACTCGTGCCTTTCGACTACACGCTGCACATCCAAGGCCACGGGGTGTTCGGGACTCGACGGAATGGAACGTGGGACGGTATCGTCGGTGAAGTCCTGTATAATGTGCGTGGACTAAAACTAACAATACATTTCCGTATCAAAATACAAGTAAAATTTTGATTCGCCTATATGTGGTTATAACAATTTATGATATATTTAATGGTCACCTACATTTATATCCCCGTCGTTTTAGCAAAGACGCTTATGCCTGATTGTTCTCAAACGTTAAAACCGTGTTTAACCAACTTTCAGGAATTTATTTTCATTTCAATGAATTATGTTTTCATTTTTGCCGAAGCATATTTTTTGAAAGGTGTTGGGGATGGCGCCCTCCCCTCTACTTACACCATGTACGTGTTTAGCAATCAATAATCGTGTTATTTCTTATGAAACAGGGGGCTCGGGTGGCACAGTCGTCTAAGGCGCCGCGATTCGCTGTGCAGAGTTGCGTCCCTTGGGCACGCCAGAAACCTATGATTGTGGGTTCGAATCCCGGTTCACCCCAATTATGTTTCTAGGTTTGTCAGCACCATACCCGTGCTCGTGGGTTTCATCGAAGTGGTAAACGTCTGAGACCTGCATCACTTCGGGCTTTCCTCCCACATTAAGCTGACACGCCGTGATATAACTGGAACACTGTTAAAAGCGGCGTTAAACCCAATTCACTCACTCACTCACTCACTCACTCACTCACTCTTATGAAACAGTGATAATTCTTAACTACGTATATGGAGGATTATACTTATTTATGATCTTCGATTGTTTCACCAGAAAGTTGACATGGCAGCTGCCCCGCTCACCGTCACTTCCAACAGGAGGGATGCTGTGGACTTCTCAATACCCATCCAAAACTTTGGCCCCGTCATCGTCATGAAAAAACCAACGTCTTATCAACCGAGTTTGGGGGACCGCTTGTCGCGTGTCTTCACCCCGCTTGACCAGAGCGTGTGGCTCCTGTCCATACTCGCCTACCTCGCCGTCAGCACCATCGTGTACGTCATCTGCCACTGCAACCCCTACGAGTGGCGGCGGATGGCTAAGGACGGCGAGGCCACTATACGGGAGGCAGAGTCGTTCACGTGCTACAACTCGTTCTGGTTCGTTCTCAGTGCATGGGCCTGGCAAGGTGGGTATCATCGCCATCATCATCATCATCATCATCATCATCATCATCATCATCATTATCATTGAGATCTTAGCTTGGCACGCCTTAAGTGAATTCATTCGCAGACTTCTGATTGAAGAAAGACTTTTTTTCTATGGCCTTGGCGCGTCTTCTAACTTTAATTTTTAGAAGCGTATGTTTCGTTTCCGTCACCTCATTTCGTTCACTCTACCTCCATTTTTCGATTTCAGTCCTCCCTTACTTATCAGTTTGAAAACATAAATTCCCGAGAAATGAATTGTATGCTGTATAAGCCAATAAACATGGCAGCGCTCGCTCGTGACGCCGAAGACCCTGGTTCGATTCCCCTCGAAGGTACAATGTGTGAAGCCCATTTCTTTTTTCCTCCCCCGTGATATTGATGGAATACTGAGATTGTAAAACCATACTCACTCACTCACTCACTCACTCACTCACTAAGGTCGCTGATGTCCTCTATCAACAAAATAGTTTTGTAATCTGCTATCCTTACTGTAATACCTAATCTGACCACTATTGATGTAACGTGCTGTCTAACTGCGCGTTTTTTAGGACGGGACTGCCAGATTCATCCACAAAATAGTATTCTTGCCAGGTTATGCAAATTATGGACGCCAAATGTATTTCAGTGACAGCCTTTTAGGTTTTAGGCATAATTAAACAATGAAGGCTTAGGCTGGAATTTGCATTTACCATGTCCCATTGCTGGGCCAACTTGTTCTAATAATTATGATGATGATGATGATGATGATGATTATCTTCTGATATATTAAGATAACCCTTCACAATGCATTACAACCAAGTGCCTCTGGCAGTTGGTTAGCCTAGTGGATAAAGGTGCGGTGGGTAGCCTAGTGGTTAAAGCATTCGCTCGTCACGCCCGGGTTCGATTCCCAACATAAGTAAATGTGTGAAGCCCATTTTCCGGTGTCCCCGTCGTGATATTGCTGGAATATTGCTAAAAGCGGCATGGAACCATACTCACTCATTCACTTGGGGAAAAATCATTCGGAAGGATTCGATTATTCGAGTATTGTGTCACACTCACATAATAGTGATTGAGTTAGTGAGTGAATGAGTTAATGATTCTGGGCATGACAAGTGTCGCAGAGTCGGCTTCATAAAAAATACCCATTTGGGGGAATGGAACCCCTGTCTTCAGTGTGGCGAGCGAACGCTCTAACCACTATGCTACCCAACGGAGCATAGTATTGTGTTATTTCACGAGCGGCGAAACACGGAGCCACGACTGAATCGGATTTATTTTATTTTCTGACAGGTTACATCCGGTCGCCTCGATCTTTAGGGGGGCGCATCGTCGTGATGTCGTGGTGGGTGTATATCATGATGTTTGTGTTGACGTTCACGGCCAGTCTCACCAACATGTTGAGGATGGGTCCGACTCCAGAAGACGTCAGGGAGTTCACAAGAATTCGCAGTCTCGACGACCTCACTGAACAATCAAATATCGACTTCGGCATGCTCAAACATGGATCCACATACCAGTATTTTGAGAACGCCAAAGTTCAAAATTTAAAACGTCTACACGAAATTGTTGATAAAAACCCCGAACTTCTTGAAAAAACTATAGAAGATGGGATAAAACGTGTGAGGACGTCTTGGAGGAAAGACTATGCCTTCATCATGGAATCTGCCATGGCGAAGTACTATAGCAAGCAGGAGCCTTGTGACTTATTTTACGTGGGAGATTTTACAGCTTCCAGTTCATACTCATTTGCATATCGGAAAGGTTGGGCGCACACGAAGGAGCTTGATATAGCAATTCTTCTTCTGCGCGAGAATGGAATCCTGCATTTGATCGAGGAGAAGTGGTTTGCTGGCAAATGTCAGGGCTTCATGATCAACCGCTCTCAGGACGACGTCTTCAACCTCCCTCCCTACTACACCGTGGACCTTGGGTCGTTCTCAGGGGCACTCATACTGCTTCTCATCGGCGTCCTGCTGGGGGCTGTCGTAACTGTCGCCGAGGTCGTCATATACAGGAAGGTGGAGCTGGTGAGTTGACCGTCACAGAGAGTTTAATTGTGTCACCTGCGTTTATCAATGGTACCTTATTTATTGTAATGTCCGCCTCCCCACAGGGCGGAATGTCCGGGGTTCGATCCGGCTTCCGATCCCGATGTGGATAATCCTGCTCTGAAGGTGCTCATCAAATTTGTACAACTGCATTACAAGAGTTGTGCCCCTTTAATGAGAATCTGAGTATTGTCGTTTCTTGAAAGGAAAAGGAAATCTCATGTATGTTCTTTGTCACACTGCGCTGGCAAGGGCGGATCCAGCATGTTTAAAAGGGAGGGGTCCAAAATATCAAAATCAGTCAATTTTTGTCAAGACCCCTCCTCTGGATCCGCCAATGGCTGGGATTGATTTTTATGGTTGATTAAACAATGAACCAAGCTGGTGAGTTTTTCAGTCTTCCAATCTTAGTGTAATAAGATCTTCTGTTGTCTGGTTTTAATGAGATCGTATCTAATCGCAACCAGCACAATCGAGAGTAAATAAAAGCGGCAAAACCATTTCCATAATCATATAAAATATCTACTGAAAGTCCACGATTCCGACAATATCATGAGCATGTGTTCATGAATCACTATCAAATAGGGATGATACCAGGTGGTCGCGAAAAGCTGAGCCTATACCGCCCCACCGGTGGCACCCTCACAAAGGCAAGTCAGTTGCTGTCTTTACTCTAGTTGATATTCCAGTGTTGATTTGATAATTTAATACTCGGCTATCTTCCGGTTACACGGACTGGACATGCGCATTAGGCGTGTCTGGTGTAACCGGAAGGTCCGTCAATTTCATCAGTGGCATTAGAGCACTCCCATCCCCAGAGTTCCATGCAACCACAGGCCAGCGTCATGTGACGATTCGTCACATTTTACACAGTCCATTCAAAATATTGCATATATTTTTCATCTTTTTCATTTTTGACAAGTCTACACCTCTAGATAAACATATGTCATAGAATGGTTTACTGTCATTGAGAAAATATCCTAAATCGTGAAAATCTATTTCCATTTGCGAAGTTATCCTATGTTTACGTGCTGTCATCGAAGCCCTACGGAGAGCTAGCGATACGGTCATTTTGATGTGTAAATTTGTTTTGTCATGCAACTCATTGTCGCGGTTGTAGTAGCATATCTATATAATTATGCAAAACAATATGTAAAGCTCCCTCAAATACTTGCATTAGTCCGTTCTATTCTGATTTCTGTAAAAGCGCGTTTCTTTACAAATTAGAGAAAAGTCCGGTCACGTGATATGCAAATTAGCCTGTGGCAGTGGTGTTAAGCTAAGTCACCATGCGCCGGAGTGTGGCATTAGAGATGTTTAGACCAGATTCTCGTCGTAGTTCTTATCTAGAATAAGCGTTGGGAGAGTCTGATTAAAACAGGTTTGAACAGTATTTCATTCATAATCGTACTTAATATATTTGTTACGGATGCATGTCAGCAGCGTTAACTAATTTGGTGACCTCACGAGCATGGTCGTAGTGCTTTCAAGCAAGGGTTTCCAAATCAGAGTTTGGTAATATAATTCCTGTAGGATATTGTGAATTAGGGGAACGTTCTGGTCTGTATTGACTTGTGAAGACACTACGTCATCTGTAACCCGGCAGTAATATAATCGATGTTCGTACTATCGACCACCCGGCCTCGGTTCAAGGCTTGATTGCACTGTCTAGTCTCAGATAGTGCTGATTAAGGGGAAAATGATCATTCATCCTATCACTCACTGTGTACACTCTGACACCATACATCTAAGCGGCAAGGTGAAGACCTGGAAATAATGTATGACCACCTTCATTTTCAGCCAAAGACAGAGGCACGAAAAGGACAGCTGGTGGCCGACAATGCCGAACCCACGCCCTTAACCCAGGCAGCACAGACAAAAGTTTGAACCAAAGTCCAAAAAACAACCCCTTTAACATAATACAAAAAACGATACCCGTAACAGCAAACTGGTGTAGACTCTTATGTTAGGAAAGACCTCAATCAATGATTGTTACGGGTATTTGTACCCGCTCCCAGTATTACAACCTGAAACTGTCCCCTGTATTTTCAAAACAGAAAATCAAAAGTTATTTACATACCTGGTCATCGGGTTTTGTTTCCCTTTTTGACTTAAAAATTAAGAAATGCTGGTTTGTTTTTTTCGTTTCTTTTACCGTATGTGTATTTTTGTAAGAAATTCTCTCTCCTTTCTTGCACACTTAAATCATTTTTGATACTTTTAATTGTCAGATAACCTTCCGCCCTGCTTATAGTTTTGATGTGGACCGTTCACATTGTCATAGCAAGTTAAGCACGGGTCAGATAACCACCTTACAGGACGTGTACAGAGTACTACGATTATTGAGTCATTACTGAGCCGGTTTTGTCGTCAAAAGATTCAAGGAGTCTTTGTATGCGAATGTTTAGTTTGATGTAGATTTTCGACAAGACGCTCTAGTCACCTACAGACATCCGGCTTGATCATGCTTACATATATAGAACTACGGATGGACCTTTCACCATTCAGTGTGCTACCCATTAACATCTTCAGCCTCTTTCTTGCTTTGTCAGCGCCACTGCAGTGTATTCTCAGTCCAAATCTTATTCCTTCGTTACGTGAAAGAAGGCGAGTACGTCCACTGAACCTTTGTGTTATTACCACGCTCATAGATTTCTGGGAGGAACATTCACACCCGAGACAGTGACGGTAGTTACAGTGATCTGCATGATCGTTGTCATATTCAAGAAAATAAAAAGTAAGGTCACAACTAATTAATTATTTGTTCTTTAGTGTGACCTCATCCTTTTTATATCTAAGTGTAAAATATTGTGGAAAATGTTTTTTGAACATGTAATTAAAATAAGTATAGAAAAATAGATAAATGGCGACAAAAACCTTTCCTAACACTCTGAAGAAGGAAACAATCCAAATTCTAAAACTTTGGATTTCCTTCCATCTCATTCAGACTTGTGGCGAGAGAAAAACGTGTTTATTTCAGTCTTTAAAAGCAATATGTGTTGACATTAACTCCCAAATATCCATAGATATTCTTCAGTATTTCAGTATAAGAGCTGGACCGGACACCTTGCAGTGGCGCACATTTGACTTCTCCGCTTCTAGTCCTTTAAGCGCTTGTAGATCCTGGGGTATCTGCTCTAATCACTAATCCTCCTCTTGTTTCCAGACATCTCTAATCACCGCTTCTCTCTCTCTCAGCATGAACCATTTTAGTGCTGATCAGTTGTCAACTAATCATGACACCGTCTGACCCTTGATTGACCTTTCACATGATGCTCGTGAATAATGAAGGTTGCCACAACCTACTGACCCTTCCCATAATAACTGTTTGATTGAGATTCTAGAAGTTGGCACAATAAGTAAGAATAACGTCCAACTTTATGGATAACAACTTCTGGTTTATTGCATATAGCGACGATTCGATGTAGATTCGTATATGGTTACTCACTCTAGCTTGATAACGGTGTAAGAATCTACATCGAAACGAAAGTTGTTATCCATAAAGTTGTACGTTTTTCTTACCTTCCCACGATGCCTGTGAAAATATGAAGGTTCTCACCAACCATTGTATAGGACACCAGCACGTTCTAGTTTCCAAACGTCGATTATCCTGTCATGTAGTAAAATCATACCAAGCATCACGTAAAATATAGGAGAAATACATAAGAGACCGACCATTTGATATGAAATGATCGTTCCCTAAGCATGACGAGGTTATCAAGATAGTCGCACTTTTGACCAATTCTGTAGATTTGTTTCAGACCCAAGGTCATGGCAACACAGATGATAAACTATAAAATATAGTTGGTTAAATGGAACTTGGTTAAATGGAACACAGCTTATGTTGAGGGAGGATGTGATACGGCGATGAGCTAACATATGGGTGATTCGGAATTTGAAAAATGTTTGGATATAAAGTTTAGTTTTCTTTGTAAAAGATAAATTCCCAATTTATTTCTTCAGGAATACTCTAGTGACGGGAGCGAGATGGAACACCAGAACTCATAAAACGCACCATCGGGGTCCTGAAAGACCACCCATGCATGGATTCCCTTCAGTCATTTCCCCCGAAAAACCCTCTTTCATACTAAAATGTCTGATATTTTGCGTCTGTTTGCCTTATCATGTATGTGCATGAAAATGAATTTTCATCATTTTTCATATTCATATCGATGAAGCATAGAATAACATGTCGAGTTTTTCATGTACTCGCGCCATCGCAGAATCACATGCCTTGTGAGAAATGTACTCTATTCTTGTCATGGTAACCAGTCTGCATATACATTGTACATTGCGTCTACCACCATCATCTGTTCTTTGTGAACCAAAGGCAGCAGTTGTCAACATAGTTAGAAATAACATCAATTATCGAAGATGAACTGGAAGTGTTCCATTTTTAACAACTTGGGTAGTCAATACTACTATTATTGGTTTTTGTTCTCCTACTATTTTGGTGTTTAAGAATTTCATTCAGTATGTATGTATATTTGTTTGTTGTTTACCGCCGCACTCAGCAATATTCCAGCTATATGACAGCGGTCTGTAAATAATCGAGTCTGGACAAGACAATCCAGTGATTGCCATCATGAGCATCAATCTACACGCACTTGGGATACGATGACATGCATCAACCAAGTCAAGGAACCTAAACACCCGATCCCGTTAGTCGCCACTTACGACAAGCATAGTCGCCTTTTACGGCAAGCATGGGTTGCTGAAGACCTATTCTTACCCGGATCTTCACGGAACATTTCTTGAATATGTTGTTAGATATTCTTCTCGAACGAACTCTCGATTCATTCCACCGTATATTCCTTTGCACTACCTTCTTATATCCTATTTTTGGAAGGGTGAAATAGGAAAGAAACACATATTACTAATTAAAAGCAAAAGCTAAACTGTTCCAATAGTTACCCCAAACAGTTGGACGAACTAAACTGCCGAGCAAAAGAAAGTAGACACCTATGTTTGATAAAAATGAAACAAACAAGAAATGTTTTTTTGATGGTGATGTATTTGATATGGGCATCATAGTTTTGTTTTTAACCTTAAGTTTGCAGTGTTTCGGCGACTGTTCAGACAAGCAAGTTTTGATAATTTTCAAGCCTTTGTTTTCTTTTGGTCGGCTGTTCAGATCCCGTGGAGATTGGCCCCCAGTAACCTATACTTGTCAAAAACCGACTAAATGGATCGAAATATGTTTGTTTTATATTGTGCAACCATTATGTCCATGGTATCGTGAGTGAATGTTAATATATCATATGTCTCAACAACAGTAAGCCAACTGTTTGATTACAAAATGTTACGAGGGGTTGATGGTGTTAGCTGCTATTTACCTGGGCCCGGTTCCACAAAACGATCTTAGCTCCAAGGTGATCGTAACTCACATACTTTAACATAGGCTTAAGATAGTTTTAGCACAAAGATCTTTTTATGGAACCGGGCCCTAAAAACAGCAGAATGTTGGATGTCTTTGGAACCTAAGTATTGTATCTACGAGCATATGGAACCCTTTGTTCTGGGATTCCGATGAGGCTCTGAACAATGGCTAAATGAGGTGGTCATCTGTCTTTGTCGTCTTCATTTCAGATAAGGCCCAAGAAATTGATTATATGTTCCTGGTAATCGCCTCCTTGTTATAATTTATTATTTAATTATTTAATTTGTCATTAAATGCACTGTTAGTACATTTCGAGAGCGAGAATCCGTATGTATCAAAATTAGGAAAGACTGTTCAATTCTATTTTTTATGAAAGGTTTTGTCATGTCACTGACATTGTGTAAATATCTCCGTCGATTCGCCACTATATAATCAATTTGTTATGGCCAATGTTTGTACATACTGTGAGAGATCATATCCTGATGAAAGGGAGTGAGATCAATTGTTGTATTTATTTATGACCATATCTTGTTAATGCCTTTAACAACTCTACTGATATTTGTGGTGGTTTGTCGTACCCTTTGGAAATAAAATGTTTGAAAGGCGTTCTCTTTCAGTTCTGTTCATTAGGGGGGAACCGTTTAAACTCGGCGGCAGGTTTTTTTTCCGAAAAACGACAACTCGGATCCAAACTTGGGATCGGTTGGAAACTTTCATACCACTGCTTGATATCCGGCTCAACAATACTTGTGTATCCGTTTTCTAAGCCGCTTAAACAACAATAGATCATAAAAGCGACAAAACCATTTCCATAATCTTAAAAACCAGAGTCCATTTTGCGATTACAACTATATCATGAACATGTGTATCCATACCAAATAGTGTCGTTAGCAGGTGTTCGCGAAACATGGCGAGCGTACCCTACCTCATCTGTGGCACCCGTCACCCATTGATGAAAAGGCAAGTCAAATGTTAACCCAAATGAAAAAAACCCACGGGAACATTTGGTACAGGTCAAAATAAGGAATCGAGTGGACATCAGTTTTGTCGCTGATGCTTCAAATTTGGAAATGTCCTCTACACGACTTCCACAACAGGGGCGGTTGGGTAGCTTAGTGGTTAAAGCGTTCGCTCGTCACGCCAAAGACCCAGGTTCGATTCCCGACATGGGTACAATGTGTGAAGCCCATTTCTGGTGTCCCCCGCCGTGATATTGCTGGAATATTGCTAAAAGCGGCGTAAAGCCATACTCACTCACTCACTCTTCCACAACAGCTTCTGAAAGCTTTACTAAGGCCTTGAATGTTATAACCTTGATAAAACAACTTTTGACCAAGAGTCATATGACGCTCTTTGAAATCTTCGTAGAAAGAGCATGCTCAACCGTACCTCAAAATTCGTGAAATGTAGACACCAAAGGTTGGGGCTGCTGGAATATTGCTCCACGTAAAGGGAAAGTTGACTATTGGAACGTTTAAGTCATCCTTGTTTTTTAATCTTGTGGAGATTGTTTTGTCACTCTGAATATTTATGCATAGATCAAAATATGAAAGAGATAAGGCGGTTTCACTTGTCTCTTTTATTTCTAGCTCAGACGGGTAAATCATGGAAAGGAATTAGCTGTTTGACCATTATTGAACGATATAAAATCTTGATACTCCTTAAGCTAAAGTTAAACATCGTGTCACCTTGCGTGATAGATATTATTAGGATATATATTAATACTTTCAGAATTATGAACAGCTCCATACTACAAACTGTAATAGGGTAACGTTTGTATTAGCAATGATAAAATACTAAATACTAAATACTAAAAAATAAATCTGCAATGTCAACTAAAAATCATATAGAAAGCTGCCACAACCATATTAACCACTGAAGAAACAACACAGGCTACTATTCCTATTCATGTATTTCCGGATGTTGTAACGCTTGTCTCACAGGCACTTGTCCATATCTCTCCTAGCCATTTCTCCTGCTTCCTTGTCTCCCTCTTGCAGCCTGAAGAACTTGCATGACTTGCCAGTAGGCAGCAGGGGTTCTACCTTGCAAATTATGTCAACCTTAGCGTGTGTAATTGTAGTGGTAATAATAAAAACACACAATGCCATTTAGAAAGTGGTCAAATGTAACACATGTTATATTTGAGATAACCACTTTCTAAATGGCATTATGGTTCATAGCTTTCGGCCATGGGAGCCGTGCCAATTTACACTTGTCAGAGGGGTACACAAAATACGTAATCTAGACTACCAGTTGTCGGACTTTCATTTTTGTGAAAGCCTCGGTGGCTGAGTGGGCTAGATCGCTGACTTTGTGTGCTGGCGATTAGGTGCCTCACTCTGGCAGTGTGGGTTCGAGAATCTGTACTTTACTCCGAAAGTGTTATCCCAAATATAACATGCTAATAACACCCTAGAATGTCGTACAATAAACAAACAAATGTTTAAAAATTCACAATTGAAAGATCATTAAAACCAGGTATTTTATATAATTCATGCAAATATAAATTTAAATTCACAAACCCCTTAAACACAAGGAGACGTAATATTATGTATCCCTGATTTCATACAACTCAAATAGGTGAAAAGAAGCACGAAACATTCAACAAGAGTGAGTGAGCGAGTGAGTACGGTTTTACGCCGCTTTTAGCAATATTCCAGCAATATCACGGCGGGGGACACCAGAAATGGGCATCACACATTGTACCCATGTCGGGACTCGAACCCGGGTCTTCGGCGAGACGAGCGAACGCTTTAACCACTAGGCTACCCGACCGCCCCCATTCAACAAGAGAATAACTGATAAACCATACATCTGAAGTCGTTACAACATACGAGACTACTATTAACGACTCTAGATATCGTGTCTAGTCGGACATTGGAGACAGTCTTTCTTAATGAACCTCCATCAAAGCTTTACACCTTTGAACATAATTCAAGACAACACATATTATAACAGCGCTGTATCATTTTTGAGCTTATTGAACATGTTTCCCTGCGAAACATGTTAAACATGAAAAACAGCGTTATCAGTATCCGCCGCCATTGGGCACATTTGAATTTTGTTTGTTCATATAGAAGTGAATATAAACTATAGAAAACGAGTCCTATAAAGTGGGGGACCCGTGAAGATTCCGGGGTAGAATAGGTCTTCAGCAACCCATGCTTGCCGTAAAAGGTGACTATGCTTGTCGTAAAAGGCGACTAACGGGATCGGGTGGTCAGGCTCGCTGACTTGGTTGATGTATGTCATCGATCCCAAATGCGTGGATCGATGCTCAAGATATTAATCATTGGATTGTCTGGTCCAGACTCGATTATTTACAAACCGCCGTCTGATAGCTGGAATATTGCCGAGTGCGACGTTAAACAAAAAATCTACCAATCAACCAACCAACCTATAAAGAGATAGGCATTTAGGACGCTTTATGGCATTACATGATTAAATGTTAAATTTATACACACAAAAAAGTAACTCAGTCTTGATAAGTATTTCTTATATAAGCTAACTTCAGAAGTTTCTGAGAAAACTTGTCCCCATTGCACACACTATGAACCAAGTAAAATAACATGGATTAAGGGCCGTAATTATGTAAAAAACCCATTAACAGACCAATTTTCGAACTCAGTCTTGGCAAGTATCTCTTAGGTATTACTAATCATACATGTAACTTTATTAATTCTTTCATTCATGTAACTTTAGTAGTTTCCGAGAAAACTGGTCCCCATTTCGCTCAGTATGCACTAAGTTGTAAAGCACGGAACAAGGGCCATAACTCTGTAAAACAATATTTGACAGGACCAATTTTCAAACTCAGTCTTGACAAGTATCTCTTAGATATTCATACATGTAACTTTATTCATTCTTTCATTCATTTAACTTCAGTAGTTCCTGTGAAAACCTGGCCCCATTTCACGCAGTATGCACGAAGCTGTAAACCACGGAAGAAAGGCCGAACTCGTTTGAGATCTATCGATCTATCTTGCTGTGTGCCAAACACAATTCATTGAAAACATTTAAGTATGCGTCAATATATCACCATTTTCCTTTGTCCACGTGCGACGTCAAATGCACCTTATTCTACCTATCGAACAAAAGTACCTTTTAGAACTAATATTTAATATATCACAATTATAAGTACATGTATGACAGATAGCAACTATCTTATACAGATCACTTCAGGAGTGTTCGCAGTGTTTAGAATATCTACAGAAGAAGACCAAACTTGTCGATTGTGTTTGAGTGTCCTTGGACCTCTTCATAAAGTATTCAAAGATGTCATTGCATCAACATCAGATAGGAGTCCGGAGTACACTGAAGACGGGATTGATGTAACCATAGAAACGCTTATAAATAAAACGTTTTAAAAATCACAATGGATTATGTAAACACATTAAATTACGGTTTTTTTCATGTTGTTAATCAAAGGATCGATTAGAGTAATCAATAATGTATTCAAAAACAAATGTATAAATAACATGTCAAAGACGGTTCCATCATTGGGTCGTATTATACCGTGATCGAATGATATAAGGACCCCCCGAGCACCCCGAGACGTGGCACGCCCTGTGTAGTGGGAAACAGACCAACTATTGGCATACAGCTACTCGATATACAGACTGTGACGTGATGGCAAATCTTTATTTGAAGGTGTCCATGAAAAATGTACTTTACAAGGACTACTACTGCCGCTGTTGTTGCTACTACTGCTACTTCTACTACTACTACTACTACTACTACTACTACTACTACTACTACTACTGCAACTGCTACTACTGCTGCTTCTACTTCTACTATTACTTCTTATACTACTATTACAACTACAATTCCTTTGCGACTACTACCACACAGTCTACTGCTGCTACTACTTCTACTGCTACTGCTTCTACTACCACCACCACTACTACTACTACTACTACAACTTCTACTACTACTACTACTACTATTCTACTACTACTACCACTACTACAATTCTATAGCGCCTACTACTACTTCTACTACTATCCCCACCACCACTACTACTACTTATGCTACAACTTCTACTACTACTCCTACTACTGCTGCTACTACTACTCCTACTACTACAACTTCTGCTACTACTACTACTGCCACTGCTGCTACTTCTACTACTACTGTTGCGACTGCTACTTCAGCTACTACTACTTCTACTATTACTTCTACTACTACTATTACAACTACAATTCTATTGCGCCTACTACTACTACTACCACTACTACTGCTTCTTTCACTTCTACTACTACTACTACTACTACCACAATTCTATAGCGCCTACTACTACTACTACTACTATTTCTACTACTACTACTACTACCATCACTACATTTCTAAAGCGCCTACTACTACTACTACGACTTCTTCTACTACTACTTTTACTACTACTCTTACCACCAACACCAACACCACCACCGCTACTACTACTACTACTACTACTACTACTACTACTACTACTACTACAATTCTATAGCGCCTAGTCTTCACCTACTGGCTTTTCAGTGGCGCTCACAACATGCTAGTAAATATCGATGCCCGAGAAGAAAACACATTAAAGGCACATGGTATCAACTCTGGGTAATTGTGCTGTACTGCTTTCTTCACAAACTATCTCTACTGTCACAAATACATATATAATTCAGTGTTATTAAGATCTGTCATATAAAATTGTATACAACAACTATTCTAAAAGACATTATATACCATGGGCCCGTGGCCTTCTGTGCGGAAATAAACTATACTACTACATAAAGGCTTTTCCTGTAACTTATGTTGTTGTCTGTTTTAAATTAATACAGTATATTAAAAAACTGTGGTCTTATTTTGGCATTTGATAGGCAATTAAAATATACAGACACCGGACTCGCTGAAAATGAAACAAAACAAAAGATCGTCCCCAACAACTGGTGCTGGCGTGTCTTGTTGCCATGACTGAAGGCCCTTTCCAGTGATATATTGATCAGTTATGCTTGGCGCGTAATACCCATGACAAACCCATCACGACCATCACAAAATCATTATCCGGTGAAGAAGACCAATGTTTGATTGATTAAGGATGGGTGTATTGGAAGATTTAATTGTTTACATAGATAATTCCAGCAGTGTAAAAAGTACTGCCAATTATGCAGTATTACTCAGAGCAAAGGGTGCTAACAAGATCATTCTTCTGATATGAGCGTTTCAGAATGGCCACTTTCTTCATCGGACTTTTCTTGTATATCGCCAACAACCTTCTGACACAAGGTAATATCATTCCGATATATTTTAATATTTTAAAATGCTTGTTCTTATTTAGATACTTTCAATTATTGTTATTCTGTGGTGACTTTTACCGTTTGGTCAAATACTGGGCATTCTCCATTATTTGGCTGAAAATTCAAATAGATATTAACATATTTGTAAAAGGGAAAGTCAACTCCACATAACAACTTTGCAAATTTTAATAATTTAGGGCATACTTAATTACTAATGCGTGACAAAAGTTGGATTTGAAAAACGGATATTGCAGACGATAACAGACGATAAAAACGGACAGGAGAAATCGTACCACATACGAAACGTTCCGCCCTTACTGAGACCCTTGAAGATCCGGGGTAGAATAGGTCTTCAGCAACCAATGCTTGCTGAAAAAGGCGACTATGCTTGTCGTAAGAGGCGACTAACGTGATCGGGTGGTTAGGCTCGCTGACTTGGTTGATGCATGTCATCGTATCCCAATAGCGTGGATCGAGGCTAATGATGTCAGACTCGATTATTTACAGACCGCCGTCATATAGCTGGAATATTGCTGAGTGCGGCGTAAAACAACAAACAAACAAACAAACAATCTTACTAGGGTTAAAACGGGTTCCCGGTGTTCTCGCAATTTCAACGATCGGACTGGTGCCAAGTCTGCCTGGTGGCTTGTTGTGGGTCCTTCACCTATTGTTATTGATACAACTTCACCTGAGCGTGTGTCACGTATGTCACAACTAATTGATGAACTACAGTCACATACATGTACTGAGTAAAAACTTTTAAAATATACATCAATGCGTGAGTGAAGATATATATCACTTAGTATGATTTGGGCTATAAATGGAATTGCAGACAAGAAACAGTATAACACATCGAACCGCATTACAAACCACCCTCAATCTAAACAAGGCTCTCACTCTAGAAGCAATACTAAACCCACAAAATAAACTAGAAAACTTCAAGGCCTTAGGCGTATTCTTAATAAAAACGGAACTAATAAAACACATCTAAAAACACAATTATCCTACCAAATCAAAATCACATAAACAAACAAACATCCAACATACCCAGCTCCCTTAGTTCTCCCCAACCCCATCGGCATCTATTCCAAATCTCAAAATTCCCAAATTCTATATAAGCAACCCCTAAACCCCCCTCTTGGATTGCACAGACCACTTTCGCCCCTTTCGGAAACACATTAAATGGCCTGGCCGGGCCCGTGTGCGAAATACGCATCAGTCGGAAAGCGCACGTTAAATCTCCAAAGTAAGTAAGTAAGTAAGTTAGAAACAGTATTCTATTGTGGCAAATGTGCAGGTTGCTTTGCAGTTTATTCCCAATTCTACGAGGGGTCGGCACTTGGTTTTTGCCTAGATCCTGATTAAGACTGGACGTCAAACTTGATTTTGTCACGAAGCACAATAATATATCACTGAGCAGTGAGCAGGGTCGACGCCTACACATCATCTCGAGTTCATTCATCACAATCCAGGGTAGTTTGAATGCCATCTAAGAAGAATAAGGAAGCCTGGATCATGTCCCTTAGAGGGAGAAGAGACAACTTCTCGCCAACCAGAAACCAGTTAACGATTATCAGAATGCTGTTTCACTCTTAGTTAGACTGTGAATTAGGTAAATTTAAGATGTGAAGGGAAAAACGTATCTTTTGTGTATTTTGTGTGTTGCAAATCGTTACCTATGTATTACAAGTATCCAGTGTTTGATATGTCACCTTTTTATGTAAATTGCGTGAATGGCGGGTACTACCGGTAAGGCAAAACATGGTTACCTTTTCGGGAACACTTGGTGTCCTCACTGATTTTTAGTGATCCATTCATGTAATTGTCACCGCTATATTGCCTTTCAAGCCGGTGGAGCCTGTTTCGGTGGATAATCGAGGCTGGTTACGTTGGCGTTTTACATCATCTTAAAACTTCTGAACCAGAAAACGGTTTCAGAGCCACCAGGGTGTGAGGAAGACCAGGATTCATGATGATGGAATCCAAGCTCAATTCCTAAAATCTGTATTTCATTTGTGCATGCCATGTTGTTATAGTATGTTGAACATCAAACTGTTCTCCTTCAAGGTCAAGGGCAGTATCTGTTTGTCGAGGAGCCATGGCTGACCTGGGCTGATGCACGTGACTGCTGCCAGTTTCATGGTCTTCAGTTGGCCAAAATAGAGAATAAACAGGATAATGATCGCATCTATAATCTGGTTCAGAAGGTCACTTCGAAGTAAGTGTAATAATGTTAAAGTACATATTTGTTTGTTGTTTAACGCCACACTCAGCGTCAAATATTGGGCATAAGTTTTACAATGTTAAAATGAACATAAACACTAACTAAACTAGCATGAAGTCAGGCAGGAGGTCTGGATTACACAAAGAAACGAAACGTACGATTGGTTGGTTGGTTTGTTTTTTAACGCCGCACTCGGCAATATTCCAGCTACATGACGGCGGTCTGTAAATGATCGAGTCTGGACAAGACAATCCAGTGATTTACATCATGAACATCGATCCACGCAATTGGGATCGATGGCATGCATCAACCAAGTCAGCGACATGGAATCTGAAATATATATATAATCTCTGATTACAGAATACAACCATTACAGAAAGTCAACTCTATATTCGGAACATACATTTTTGTGAACACTGAGTTTGGAGATGGGATTACACTTAAAGTGGCGGTTTAGAACACGTGTGAAGTCGCTAGCTGGTACTCTGCAGTGATATTGCTAGAAAAACGCTCCAAAGCGGACTAAAATCTCTGCGAATCGCTCTCAATATTAAAACACTAACTTAAGGACATTTTTACATTCAGAGGGGCGATTGGGGTAGCCCAGTGGTTAAAACGTTCGCTCGTCACGCCGAAGACCCGGGTTCAATTCCCCACATGGGTACAATGTGTGAAGCCCATTTCTGGTGCCCCCCGCCATTTTATTGCTGGAATGTTGCTAAAAGCGGCGTAAAACAATACTCACTCACCTCATTTTACATTCAGAAAGTCCAATCACCAGAACACATTTATTTACAAAGAACCTTTGTTGGATCTACTTGTTTATATTTTCAAAGCATCTTCATCTTTTCAGTAACGGGTACTACCTGTGGTTTGGAGCCAGCTATAACACAACCCAAGGCACCTTCACCTGGTCGGACAACGCACTGGTCACATGGTACCAATGGGGTGGGTCGGAACCGGATGTCAACGCATGCGTGAGCGGACAGTTTATTCCAGATAGGATGGTTTGGAATGCCCACATGTGTTCAACTGCCTACTCCTACGTATGCAGTGTTACAGGTACGTGTGTGCTCGTCCAGGTGTGTGTGCATGCTTTTAATTTCATCGTCACTCAAGTATTTCACATGTCTCCCAGCAGGGAATCGGTCCTTATTTGTGAGGGATTCCTATATATGTGTAAGGCGGTAAAGACCCGTGAAGATCTGGGTTAGAACTGGTCTTCAGCAACCCATGCTTGTCGTAAGAGGCGACTAACGGGATCAGGTGGTCAGGCTCGCTGACTTGGTTGATGCATGTCATTGTATTAAAACTGCGTAGATGGCATGTTGTCAATCACTGGATTGTTTAATCTAGACTCGATTATTTACAGTCGTCATATAGGTGGAATATTGCTGAGTGCGGCGTTAAATAACAAACAAATAAAAGAGTACTAAAATCTGTACTTTACTAAGAAAGTATTGTCCAAAATATAACTTTTGTGAAATAAAAGAAGTGGCAAATTTCATGGTATGATTGTCATTCCGGGTACAATTATGACAGAGACGATCAAATCACTCTTTCCTCTTTGGATGCTATATGCATCACATATATGAAATGATCATAAACTGCTGGTACAACAACTAATATATTATATAGATATAGATATATATCGATGCTCACACTATCGCTGATCTCCCGCTTGTCCAAATTATGTTCAGGGACGAAATATTAGGGAGCAATCGTTTGATGTTCAGGGGCGTGGGATGGGTAATTTGTTTGAGATGTGCAAATTACGTTTCCCAACAAAAACAGGTGCTAATTTATTTTAAACAAATTTTAAACAAATAAAGAACTGTATTTTTGGACACTTGTCTGCAAGATAAGGAGACGATAAATATTTTCCTGAAATTCGAAAATTTCCATATGTAATTTATTTCCAGTAATACAGAGGCCTTTAAGAGTGATGATGGGGTGACATACGTTGCTAGGCATATATTTAGGGCGTATTATTTGAATAGTTATTGTTACGTAACATATGGTTGTTTTATTGCTCGAAACAGAAACTCCGAACATACAACTCACCGCAAGGCCAAGCGGATGTCCGGAGTCCATCCAGGATTATGTGTTGTCCGAGTCGACGGTCGGATCTGATGGTAGGTATGATGAACGCTGATTTAGTGGCAGATCCCATTCGCCCCGATTGTTTCCATACCCGTGCTCGTGGATTTCACCACCATGATATACGTAGAAGACCTGCGTCGTGATATAACTGAAATTCGGTTCAAGTGGTGTACTAGTGGCATATTCACACCAACTCTCACATTAATTCTTGAACTTCCCGACCCTTCTGAATCTATATATGAGGTATTGAATCAAAAGTATTGGCTCCCGTATCGAGCCTGTAGCTTCAAATTCAGTTACATCACGTTTGTATGGAATCCTAGAATGGTCATTGCCGCCCTTACAGAACCGAGCAAAAAGTACAGAAATGAATGCGATAACGCGACATAGTTTCTCCTTGAAAAATGTCGGATTCTCGCCTTTCTTTAAAAAAGCCTAAAATAATTCAAAACGTCACAGAGCGACAATTGGTTAATTGTTGCATTGTAGCCTTTGTTTAACTTTGTCATTGTTTGCTTGGTTTTGTGAGGGCGACAACGCAAAAATGTCCCTTCTAGGATTCCATACATTTTGGGCAATACTTGGTTAATTTTCTGTAAAATAGAAGCCGAGAGCTCTGTTCGATCATTATAGCCAAATGAAGAAGTCGACTTTCAGAGGTGGCGCTAAAATGAAACCTTCTTTAAATCAATAGGGGCCTGTTTATAATAGTGAGTGAAATGTGGTACCAATCTTAGAAAAATATTTTACTCCGATACCATAGGCATGCCTTCCCATAAGAGGTCAGGGCCCCGTTCCACAAAGCGATCTTAGTGCTAAGACTGCCGTAAGTCTATGTTAAATTATGGGAGTTACGGTCGTCTTAGCGCTACGATCGCTTTGTGGAACAGAGTCCAGGTCTGTACGAGGCTTTTAAAACCTCGGTAACGAGGGAAGCATTCAGAGTGGCGTATCTGTAAAATATTGGGGATATTTTCTTCACCCTGTCGTTTCTGAGCACCACGATATCTACTCCCATAAGGGTGTGCTTTATATCGAGTGAATATTAGTGTTCCGAATCGAAGCTGACATCTGATTGGCTCAGGAACCAATTCTTCAACAGAGAGTTATCGGTACAATTGTGAGTGAGTGAGTTGGGTTTAACGCCGCTTTTAACATTATTCCAGTTATATCACGGCGTGTCAGCTCAATGTGGGAGGACAGCCCGAAGTGATCCAGGTCTCAGACGTTTACCACATCGGTGAAACCCACGAGCACGGGTATGGTGCTGACAAACAGCGAATCGCGGCGCCTCAGACGACTGGGCCACGCGTGCCCCCGTGTCGGTACAAGAACTGATCCAAATGACATTCAATGTGGATCATGACTAATATCAGCCTTGCATATTTTCAGGAAACCGCCAGGATACCTTCATTGATGGCAAGTTCGCTTTCCCCAACACTACATCGTATCTGGGCTCTCGTGTTGTCTCGCAAATTGAAGACTGCATGCTCACGTGCCTCGAGTTTCCCGGATGTAACCACGTGACCTATTACAATCACTTCAAGTGTCACATGTACAGTGCCTAATCTAATCTAAATGATTGGCAAATTTTGAAGCAAAAATAAAGACTCGGAACCTGACGTGACCACAACGGAACCACAAGTGTGTTCAAAATTGGAACCACTCATTCCAGTGCTAGCCTCTGAGTTAGGAACATGGTCAAAATGTTAGCATGTGCGTCTCAACACTGTACATAAATAATGGACAAAGTACATGTTTAAATAGCTTCTGCTTTGGTATGTTTCTTTATTTGTTTGTTGTTTAACGCCGCATTCAGCAATAGTCTGTAAATAATCTAGTCTGGACCAGACAATCCAGTGATTAATACCATGAGCATTGATCCACACAACTGGGATACGATGACATGCATCAACAAAGTCAGCGAGCCTGACCACCCGATCCCGTTAGTCGCCTCTTACGACAAGCATAGTCACCTTTACGGCAAGCATGGATTGCTGAAGACCTATTCTACCCTGGATCTTCACAGGTCTGATTGGGCAGACATAATGCATATTTGGACGTGCATATTATTTATTTTTGGAAATGTGTCTTCAAATATATTATCTTCTGAACCTACAAGTTGTAATACTTTAAAACATTATAGCCACATATAGTTGTAGAGCGTCAGCCCGGAGAGCGTCATACCAAAAGACGTTAAACGATTTTACTTGTTGTTACCCTGTCTGGCGCTCGGCATTAAGGGTTTAAAACAAGGACTGGTCGGCTCGGGGTCAGTATACTGTGTCTGAGTGGGGCATTCGTGTTAAACTGCAACCATGGTATCTCAGTGGGCTAGCACTATAAATCGGTATCAGTCCGGACTATTACAAGCACACACACACACACACACACACACACACACACACACACACACACACACACACACACATTTCACCTCACCTTATTGTCTCATACATGCAACATCAAACAGAGTACCGCATAAACTGAAGCTCATCGTTATGTAGTGAGTGAGTGAGTTTGATTTTACGCCGCTTTTAGCAATATTCCATCAATATCACGGCAAATGGGCTTCACACATTGTACCCATGCCGGGAATCAAACCCGGGTCTTCGGCGCGACGAGCGAACGCTTTAACCACTAGGCTACCCGATCGCATCTCACCTTTATGTTTAATGCTATATTAATGTTATGCCTTAACATTTGAGGGGTAAAAAAAATATTTTTTTGAGTGCCAAAATAGTCATTTTGTCAAAGAGGCATACTGCCCAACGCTTGAAAAATTATACTGGTTTGTGTATGACTTCAATCCAATTGGAACCCTATCATATACTCTTCACAAAAAGTAAGGGATCATGAAATATAAATGTAAATACCAAGCACTGGAACAAAGATAGGTGTTGACGACAAACAACCTATGCAAGAACGTTTATGACTGTAAAACCTAACGACAAAACACATCCTATAGTCTGCACGCAGTAGCGCCAAACACGTGCGTAGTGCGTCATTCCTGACTTTGACACTTTCAAGAAAGGTCCGTTAATCTCTGTGGACCATTATTTCTATCACTGTTATGATTTAGTTGATTTCATTCATTGTTTGTGTGCAAATTAGAAATACGGTGTCTGCAACGCGCGGGGCGTGTACGGGCTATTGACACGCTTGAACCTGCTGAAGTGATCGTTCAGTGGGCGTTGCGTTCAGTTTATCAGAGTCTGTCATTAGCAGACTATGGAACAGGTAAAAAAAAAAGGTTGACGATCGACCCCGTTCAGGACGGTAAGGAAGGTCAATGTTTGTTGTTTGTTTGTTTGTTTGTTTGTTGTTTAACGCCGAACTCAGCAATATTCCAGCTATATGACGGCGGTCTGTAAATAATCGAGTCTGGGCCAGACAATCCAGTTATTGACATCATGAGCATCGATCCGCGCTATCAACCAAGTCAGCGAGCCTGACCACCCGATCCCGTTAGTCGCCTTTTACGACAAGCATAGTCGCCTTTTACGGCAAGAATTGGTTGCTGAAGACCTATTCTACCCCGGGTCCCACGGTCAATGACAAAGAGTATATGATCGATTGATCAGACACCACTGCAGGCTCTACGAAATTGAGCTCAAACGGCGAATCAAATCGCTGCAAACTTTCATCACACTCCTGGAGTACGATTAGAAATCGTCTACATGCAGCTCGGCCGCCACGGTGTGCTAACTCTTACAAATCGCCATATTGCCAACAGACGTCAATGGTGTACACAACGTCGAAACGGGTAATCGTCGCTGGTCACGTGTCATGTTTTCAGATGAGGCACTTCTTTGAGACGCGGGGTCAACAAGGAGTTCTCCATGGGTCCCCCTTTCTATTACCATTCCCATACGTCGAACTCTCACACTCATCTTTGACATGGCTAAGGCCAAGGCCAGTGTTACTTGGAATTCAGAATTATTTTATAGGCGCTTCAAATACCATGTAAAGACGACACAAATTCAAATACGATTTCGACGATAAATTGTTGATTTTGTGTGGAATACAAACATTCGTTCTCATCGTATTTTATCGTTTGTAATATGGTGAATTGATGAGGTATTGTGGGAGCGAGGACAGATTGGCAAACATGCGAATGATACTCGTATTGTTATTTTACTGTTAGTTTTTCGTTTACAGTAACCATGGTAAGGACAAAAGAAAACTTCCTACACTTGACGGACAAATATATTTCAATATATCTGATAATCAGAATAAAAACACAAACAAGCAAACGAGGTACGTTGGGTTTTATGCGTCCCGCGTTAGGTTTTTTGCCTCCGACTCGTGGTATAAAAACTAACGAGGGACGCATCAAACCCCATGTACCCCGAGTGAACGAATTCATCTTACCGGTATTCTTTTAATATGAAAATGTAAAAATAATTAAAACAAATTCAAAATTGCGCTTGCGCTATGTCGCGTGACTTCCATTGACTCGGAAAAAGCGTGCAGCCTGACTTGCTCGTGGCGGGGTATAAAGGATTTATTCCCCTGCTGAGAAATGTATTCCCCTCCAAGGCGGGATACACAGTATCAAGATCAAGATCACGTGGGCCAATCAGATCTCATCATTCTGACATGGAGGTATGATAAATAACTTCATAGCTACATGTACAACAGGGCCAAGATGATAGTCAAATGTGTTCATTTTTTTCAATTTGTAATCACGACAAAATCAATTTCCCCATCTCCCGGAGGAAATATGGCGGCGGAGGACAATGGCGGATCACAGCTTGTAGTTGGGAATATATTACAAACGGGACGTTTGTCAGGCTGAAAGGCAACACATGGGTCATAACTAATACTGTTCACCATCTGAAACGAACAAAACGAAAATGATAATTCTAGAAATTCTAAGTTTAATTGTTTTTATTGTATGTCTGTATATACGAGTTAATATTCTTTCTCAAACCTCAGTTTCAAAACGAGTCACTGTTATTACCTCTGTGATTTCCTGTAATAAACAATAACAAAAATCTAATGATGAAAACTGTCATTGAACGTAATAGTGAATAGTTTATCCCCTAGCTGAATGTATGGTGTTGGAGGTGATTGGGAGATTCCACCTGCATATATGGATGAGCAGAATAACGGATCATAGAAACACAATTACAAATCAAGGTGAGACTATTCAATTTTTGTCTGTGAATGTTTTGCACACGTTTTCATAGAGACCGTTACTTTGAAGCCATATCAGCTACATTATATACTCTCGTACAAGAGCTACATTGGACAGGGAGGGTGCCATGGCTAACGTCAGTCGTTTAATTTTCGGGTTTGTGATCATCAGTGTCTGTCTGAAAGGTAACGCTGTAGTATGTATTGAGTGAGTGAGTTGGGTTTAACGCCGCTTTTAACAGTATTACAGTTATATCTCGGCGTGTCAGCTTGATGTGGGAGGAAAGCCCGAAGTGATGCAGGTCTCAGACGTTTACCATTTCGATGAAACCCACGAGCACGGGTATGGTGTTGACAAATCTAGAAACATAATCGGGGCGAACCGGGATTCGAACCCACAATCATAGGTTTCTGGCGTGTCCAAGGGACGCAACTCTGCACAGCGAATCGCGGCGCCTCAAACGACTGGGCCATCCGTGCCCACAGTATGTATTGAAATCAACACCAAACCATCTTTCAGAAGAAAAATATACTCTAAAAAATATTACTAAATAACGGGGCATTCTCTGATAATTATACATTTCAATGTATACAGTTACCTTATTCATTAAATGCAAAGAAATCAAAGACACATTATACCCATGAAGACGCGTAAAAGACTACAGGTGTTATTATTATAATTATTGATATTATGTTATTATTGGTCATGTATATGTCGTCTGATTCATTAAAAACTAATACTGTTATGGTTGTATATAGTTTTACGATAAGGCAGCGAATCTGTATCATATGATACGAAGTATTTTATAAATAATCAGGGTCATGACTCAATAGAAATCTATACGGTTCAAGGTGAAGGACAATACTTGTTTCTGAGCAAACCCTGGTACCCATGGACTCTTGCACGTGCATGCTGTCAGTTTCACAACATGGAGTTGGTCAAGATCGAAACCCCCCAGGAGAACCTATGGATCTATGACATGGTACGGAAAATCGCTTTAAAGTAAGTACAAGAGTATGTCAAATAGTTTGATAGATGTCGTTAGATTGGTCACCGTGGTGTAGGAATGGGTGAGTATAGTTTTTCGCTGCTTTCAGCAATATTCCAGCAATAGTACGTCAGAATGGGCCCCATACGCCGTTTCCAATTGTGGAAGCGAACCCGGCTCGTCAGCGAGACGAACCAGCACCACTTAAATTCAACCGTCCTCCCCGCGAGTTATTCCGGGAAACTTTCAAAGAGTTTGAAGCTCCATTTGTCCATATACTAAACATGATCAGTGCATTCTCATAATCTATTCGCAGGGGCGGTCGGATAGCTTAGTGGTTAAAGCGTTCGCTCGTCACGCCGAAGGCCCGGGTTCGATTCCCGACATGGGTACAATGTGTGAAGCCCATTTCGCCGTGATATTGCTGGAATATTGCTAAAAGCGGCGTAAAACCATACTCACTCACTCATAATCTAATAGCCCTTGGTCGGGTGCTTTATCTTAGAATACAGAATGATGGTTCGGATTACCATACAGAAAACAACAACAACAAACGGACTATACAAGTTTAACTGTTTTAAACGTTAATCATTACGTATACTCTATACATATAGTCGATTATTCATGGGATATCATCACAGGAATTAACTCACGGTCAATGTCAAATGGTTACTGCTTACAATTCTACGTCCCAGGCTAGTCCCCAAATTATATTCTCTTACAGTTTGTCTGTATTGAATATCAATGTTTTTTTTACAAGACGCAAAATCTGTTTTTTTTAGACACACTTCCTTTCTTGAATTGCATGATCATTATTTTTTAATATGAAACATATCCTGTAAGTGAGTATGGTCTTACGGACCGTTACCAATATTCCAGCAATATGTCGATGGTGGAGACCAGAAATGGTCTTCACCCATTGTACCCATGTGGGAATCGAACCGGGGACTTCGTTGAGACGAGCCAACGCTTTAACCACTTGGCTACCCCACAGCCCCTGAAATATAAGAAGGCGTAATGAGTCATTTTGTACTTCCATGGGCATGCTTGTCTTTTAGCGGCGGGTATTTCATTTGGCTTGGTGCGCGCCACAAATCTTCTGAGAACACGGTCACATGGTATGACGACACGCCGGTCACGTGGTCAATATGGGCGCCCAACGAACCAAGTTCCCAGTCATGCGTGAGCGGCCGCTTCGTGCCAGGCGAGATGCAGTGGGATGCCCACGGATGTATGACCGGTTATCCTTATGTGTGTGAGATTCCAGGTACTAATTTTCTTTTTCGTAATCTTTTCGATTCGAAATTTTAAACATGGCCGACAATTTATGAAATGACAGTTTGTGATGTTTCATGATTGTCCGACAGTAGTAAATTTAGAAACTTCTTTTCTATTTGAAAATGCTGAAAATTGCGTATGAGTTGAGATACACTATTATCATCCAAAACTGGCTCCCACAGGAGATATGCTTGGGTGAGATATATTTTGTTTATAATACACACAGTAGTAAGGGTATTATATCCGAACTCGAAATCGAAACTTCCGATTCCTGTGGAACGATTCAGCCACCATGTGCCATGACTCCAATGATGAATGGTAGTATGATAACATATTAATTAAATCCTAATTATAAATAAATCCCAGTAAATTCATGAAGTGACAAAAGCCAAACATTCAATGTCTGATCTACCGAGCTTTAATAACCGTTGGAGACATTTTGTGTCTAAACATTTCCGAGAACGTGGCGCACATTATCTCGTGCTAATTATGTCAAATACGTGTATACAGCTACGAGGCATCTTTTCTTGTTATAAATTTATAAATTCTGACATATGAAGATCAGGCAAAGACACAGATAGCATATAGAGGGAAGGAACATACAAAAGGGGGAGGGAAAAAAACTAGAGCAGTAATTAAATATATTTGAAATAGAATCTTGAGAAACGCACCACACTTCATATTCTAGTATACAGATTACTAAACCAGACCCTGTTAGATACCATATTACAACGAGTGTATTTCAAAACGTGTCTCCTAAGCGGAAGCGAGTTAGATAATCCTAAGGTGATGTGAACGAGTGAAGAGTTGCAATTAACACATAAGAAAACAAGAGCATATAAAAGAAAGTGATCTATTTGCTTCTTTGTTTTTTGAATGTGAGTATTATTATCATTACTATTATTATTATTATTATTATTATTATTATTAAATATCAGACTGATTTCTGAAACTCCAATAATGGTTTTGGTCCTGGAAAAGAATGATCACTTCAACACCTTATCATGTTTCGGATTAAGATGGGTGATTTGTTTAACGCTAAAGAAAATGAAACTGTAAATACATGTAAATATGTAGTAGCAATAGTCATTAAAAGTCGGCCAACAGAAGCTTTTTTTTCATACTTATATATTTGTGTCGATTGCCCTTTCATGACGAGGGGGCACGGGTAGCCCAGTCACCTAAGGCGCCGCAATTCGCCGTGTAGAGTTGCGTCCCCTGGGCACGACAGAAACCTATTCTCGTGGGTTCGAATCTCAGTTCGACTCTATTATGTTTCTAGGTTTTTCAGAACCATACGACCAGATCCGGGTTGAGAATAAATCTTCATTAATCTGGCACGTTGTGATGTAACTGGAATATTGTTCAAAGTGGCGTTAAACGCAACTCACTCACTCACTCACATTCATGACGATGACCTTAAAGCACCATCCTTCATAACAACCACTGTTCCTTCTACACACAGACACCCCGACCGCCCAGACCATCATTCCTGCAGGAGACTGTCCAAAGACAATCCAAGATCTTGCGTTATCGGACACCAAAGTTGGCCCTGGAGGTAGATAGACCTTTAAACTACATCAACATCTGCATGGACCGTCCTCCATTCGGTTGATAGGTTGGCTACAGAATTCTCTGACACGTGGCTGTGTTAGATGGTTCCTTCTCAACAAACAGCAGCATTACTCTGACTGCGCCATACTCTCCCAACATTTGATGCAATCTTGTTGCTGTTTAACGCTGCACTCAGCAATATTACAACTATACAACTGGACCAGACGATCCAGTTATTGAGATCAAGAGCATCGATCTACGACATTGAGATGCGATGACATGCATCAACCAAGTCAGCGAGCCTGACCACCCGATCCTGTTAGTCGCTTCTTACGACAAGCATAGTTGCCTTTTACGGCAAGCACAGTCACATTTTGGGACAGGTACGGACTGCTGAAGACCTATTCTAACCCGGATCTTCACGGGTCTTGATGCAATCTGACCACAGGTAAGGTTGGGTGAAATGGGGTTTATCGTCGCACTTATATAGTGACGTGCATGAACATGTGGGTATGGCTATTTATACTAGTACGGACTAGTTCTAATGCCGGTTTTATAGTGATAGCCCACTGAGACACCATGCTGCAGTCTGACATGGATACCCATTATGACACAGTATACTGACTCCGAGCCGACCAATTCTTGTTTTATCCCATACATGGAAACAAGTACCGCCTTTGAACGTCCTTTGGTATGACGCGGTCGGGGATCGAACAACTGACCTTCTGCTCTGCTCTTATCCACTAGACCACCAATAATGGCCTCGTAATGTAAGTCGCTATTGACAATTGATATATGCTAACCAAAAGAAGTTAAATGCACCTTATTCTTTATCGGATGTTTTTTTAACTTCTTTTGAAAAGTATATTACATGTGTGACGACGAATACATGCACGTGATCTGAAACACTATAAATGTTTCAGAGCGCAGAACAGTATGGGCGACCATACGTGCCGTAAAAGACAACTATGCTTGTCGTAAAAGGCGACTAACGGGATCGGGTGGTCAGGCTCGCTGACTTGGTTGATACATGTCATCGATCCCAATTGCGTGGATCGATGCTCATGCTGTCAATCACTGGATAGTCTGGTCCAGACTCGATTATTTACAGACCGCCGCCATATAGCTGGAATATTGCTGAGTGCGGCGTTAAACAACAAACCAACCAACAGTATCGGCGACCAAGTGCTTGTCGTAAGAGCCGACTATAACAAAAATAGGGTACCAATTGTGACATGGCTGATTACGTCATGGTGTTCATGCTATCAACGACTATATGCCTTGTCAAGACATACATGCTGCAATGACATACTTGAATAAAGATGTTTGTGGCGTAGAAAAAACGTTCATTCACTTATTCATGCAAATTACGTGATATATGAACATAATGTGCAGGAAAAGATTATACCGGTAATTTCATCCAAAGTGTATTTCCATGCCATGTACCATGTGATGTACCATGTGACTGACACAAAACAGAAGCGAGGAGCCAAGCCGAAATATCGAGGGCGAATCGTCCATAACTTGAAGCGCTCGTAAAATCTTTAATAGTCAATTGCTTCTTGAATGCGTGAACCTCCGTCAGCAAAACTCAATGTATCAGGGCGGAATGTAAATAATAAAGTCTGGACGAAAGAAAAACTGTGTCTGAAGACATGAGCATTTAACGATTGGCCACGATTACTCACAATCAATCACGTCATTACTCACAATCAATCACGTCATTACTCACAATCAATCACGTCATAGAGTCTGACCACCCGTCCTCTCCAGTCGGCTTTCAGACAATCGGGAGATACCAGGGTCACTATGCAATACCCGGGAATACGCCCGGAGTATTTAACCAGTTGACGTGCAGTAGACCAGCAGAAACGGTGAATGTGATCTCATTATTCATTGTTTATGTGAGGTGAGGTGAAATGGGGTTAAACGTCGCGTTCTAGATTAGTGTGCATTCACGTGTGTGTGTGGCTGCCTATACTAGTTCGGACCAATGCCGATTTTATAGTGCTAGCCCACTGAGGTACCATGCCGTAGTTTAACATGAATACCCTACTCAGACACAGTACACTGACTCCGAGCCGATCAGTCCTTGTTTTAACCCCTTAATGCCGAGTGCCAGACAGGGTAAAAACAAGTACCATCTTTTAACGTCTTTTGGTATGACGCGACCGGGGATCGAACCCCGTACCGTCCGCTTTCAGGGCGGACGCTCTACCACTAGACCACAGAGGCGGTATCATTGTTTTTTGTGGTTATCATTGCGTGTTTTGTTTTGTTTTCAGGAACGCTTCAGTACGACTTCACTGATGGCAAGTACACTTTTCCCAGCACCACGAACTGGACTTACTTTAGAGAAATAAAGCTCTCATCCATTGAAGACTGCACACTCATGTGCCTGGAAACGCCCGGATGTAATCACGTGACCTACTTCGATGACTTCACTTGTCGTCTGTACGGCCTGTAACCCACTACGACGACTATCTGTTATACAGTGACCGAACTTGGCTACATTTCTGATATACCTGACCTTGACCTTTGCTGACGTCATATCTGGCTTTACAGCGTTGACCTTCGACGGCATCGCTTTGGCTTCAGTCGGTAATACAATGATTGATCTTCGATTATTTTTTACACGTTGGCAATACTGCATTTGACCTTCGGTGACTTTACACGCCGGCAATACTGCACTTGACCAACGATGGCTTTGAACGTGGGCAATACAGTTTTTGATCTTCGATGACTTCACACGTAGTTATAAATTATGCTCATAATAAAAAATAGCTGTACACCGTTATGACCCCAGCTGTATGTTACATTTGATAAAAGCAAAGCAATGTTAATATATTTTTGTTGATGCTCAATTTATTTGTCGATAAAGTCATAAAATCGATTTAAAAATATACTCCTACTCCTAATCTTTACATATTCTTAGAGCATGTTTTAAATGTGTTTATCGGATCAATGTGTATTTATGTTTTGTACCAATAAACATTTTCTTATAACTTGACAAGACTTTGACTTGAACTTGTTTTAGATTATGTGTTTAGTTCTCCAGCGTTGTCGCTTTTGTTTCTGTCCAAGTGACATAATTGGTAATTAATTTTAAATATACAGTGCCAGTATGTAAAATGTATGCTTCACCTCCAGCTGTGTATACTTACCTTCCTTCATGGTGTACTTCTTCATTTAAGTCAGTGGTTTCTTAATATTATAATAAGTGCAACATGTCAAGCATTATGTAGTTGTTGGCTGGTTGTTTTACGCCGCACTCAGCAATATTCCAGCTATATGACGGCGGTATGTAAATAATCGAGTCTGGACCAGACAATCCAGTGATTGATATCATGAGCATTGATCCACGCAATGGGGATCGATGACATGCTTCAACCAAGTCAGCGAGCCTGACCACCCGATCCCGTTAGTCGCCTCTTACGACAAGCACAGTCGCCTTTTACGGCAAGCATGGGTTGCTGAAGACCTATTCTACCCCGGATCTTCACGGGTCTCAAGCATTATGTAAGTAACGATGTCATAATGTAATCAAAGTTAAATGCTAAGAAAAGTATCAGCATATCCGCTATAATAGTTGTATTTCAAGTTTGAATAGCAAACAAAACTGCACTTACCGGTATCATTTATTGACAGATTTTGTTTTAAGAGTTGCATATGTTCGGACACCAAGTTACATAATAATAGTTGTGTGGTTCCGCAAAAAGTTTTGTACCTTAAACCTCACACAAGACCCTTTTTAGGTGTATTGTATTGCAATGTTAACAAGGTATTAAAAGAATATTAGCCAACCACTTAAAATTGCAAGTATAAGTCGCGTTCCTTGTCCAAACATTGAATACTTACTTGATATACTTTATATTCATCTATATGATTGGATAAAATCAGTTTACGCATCCACATACTAATTTGTTGGATTGAGATTATTGAAATGAAAAGTAGAAAGACAACTAACTGATTTCCTAACCAAAAATAAAACTAACATTCTGACTGTAATATAAAAACAACACCAGACTGTAATGTAGTGATTTTATCCAAGGGAGATAAGCACAGCTTTTACAACGATAATATATTAGAGTTACGCGCCCTTTGTTTGCAGTCGCAAAACATGGCGGATTACTAATAAAAACAGGTATTTGATTCGATGGGCGTGGGAAAATGAATGTCTGCTTGAAGTACCAGTTTTCTTGGAATGTGTGCGAAACAAAATACCAATATGGGCTAAATAACTAATTTATATGGTAAAAATGGGACGGTTGTTGACACGAATAATTCATAAATGACATTTGACAGCTCGGCAGAGACGCTTATATTTTGATCATGGAATCCCATGATTAAATGATTAAAGGTGCACACTGATATCAACTCGCTGTTGAAAAGTAAAACCTATTTGTAGATTAAGGTGGTTGCAGATAATTGATATGTAATCTTTCTTCACGCAAAGTTTGGATATCTTAACTCAAAAATTCTTATCCCAGATTTCCTATTTCCTGAAAGGTTCATTCATCTGTAAGAACTTGGGCCCTAGATGCGTTGATTTGTTTGTTCCTGATGAAATTCGCACAAGAAGTGTTTACACAGATGTTGAAATTAATGTTTTGATGGTTTGTTGTTCTCCATGAACAGGTGGTGAAACCTTGAATGATACCTACTGTTGAACAGTTCATCATTTTCATTGTCAAAATGTCCAACAACCAATTTACAAATCTACCAAGGTTTATTAACATATTCTCTTGTATTAATTCAGAATATATAGCACAGATCCAAATAATAAACACAGGTGCAAGTGAAGGAAATGCTTCTAACTGATTAAAAATATGTGATGAAAAGTTGTCACTTTTACATTGAAAATGTTGACTTGAACACTGTTGTATGAAGCAATCAGTTTGTTAGTCATGTCTATTTGAGCGTTATTTAGAGGCAGCAAAATGCTGATTTAATATTGATATTCTTCTTCATTTTGTCCTTGGCAGGCATGTAGATAAGATAGCATATGTTGCATAGACATGATAGACTTGATAGACTTATGTAGTTGGCTGCAATTAGAACATGAGAACGTACCATGTACACATTGACAAAGTCAGGGATGTTTGCACCATGTTGCACAGTCTTGGACTCAAATATATCTGAGTTACTGGGCACCCGGCAGCTTCCTCTTATCCTTTTTATCATGCTGCTAGCAGTTATGATTAATATTACATTTGCAAAAAAGGAAGTGTTCTGTTATCTACAATGATCTATGGTTATGGATAATGTGTTGAGAAATGCATCTCTTACATTGACTAACATTTCAAGGCGTATGCGTTTTTGTAAAAGGTATACCATTTACGTTAATAACTTTTAAAGTATTGATGATTTGCAGTAACGATATATTGAACATTCTGCACTGCAAATTTTTTTTATGAACATGATAAAAGGGTGATATTTCAGTTGTTTGTAAATGTAGTTGAATGTGTCATATACATGCAGTACAAGTAGCATGGTTATTTGCAAAAATAATATAAATGTAAATGCAATATGCACTGGTTTTTTTTGTGTAGAAATGCATGAAAATATTGAAACACTCATAAAATACTCTCCAGTTTTCCACCTGTGACCAAACTGACTATGTCTCACATTGCTCAGACACATCCTGCTAGAGTTTAGGATTCAGAGACTGTGTCATACTGAGCATCAAACACACAGTAACTCCAACCCACCAGCTTCACCAAGGGCAGACAATTTGGAACAAATGCAAAACTGTATTAGTAATTTTGTTTGTACAAATTATGAAGATGTCACGATGCATTAAATAGTTTAATTTAAGTTTTTTCTGACATATCATTGTGATTATGTTTAAAATAATATGATGTAGTAATAAATATAGGGTATAAATATAGGTATATTAAAACTGTAAGGACCTGTTACCGAGTATGTAATGTGTTAGGAAAATCCTAATTATGATGACAGGATGTTTTTGATGTGACAGATAATATCATCTGAAAACTGATTCCCATGTCTGACAATGACGTATAATTTTGAAGTGTACCCGACATCATGTACATGCTCTATGCAATTATGGATAATGACCTGAAGTACAGTGTAATGAAAGTTTATGGTAACCAAACAAGACCCCATTCCCTCTAAGTCTGTGATATCTAATTACAGATCATTACCATGGTGATATAGGCCATACACTTGCATCGGTTTGTAAAGCAATGATTATTATGTTTAATCATAATTCCTCGATTATATGAATAGTAAGAACAAGTCACTACAAAAGTCTGGCATTTTTATACTGTCCGCTTATATAGTGAGTGAGTGAGTGAGCGTGGTTTTACACCGCTTTTAGCAATATTCAAGCAATATCACTGCACCGGAAATGGGCTTCACACATTGTACCCATGTTGGGAATCAAACCCGGGTCTTAGGTATGACAAGCGAGGTTACCCGACCACCCCTCCGCTTATATAGTCTTGTCTATTATAAAGACAGAATTTCTATACATCCATGGACTTATCATTCAGTACAGACTTTGAGGCAATTATTATTCGTTGAAATCATAATTCCTAAATTACAAACATAATAGGAACAAGTCTCAATAAAAAGATGGCATCTTTAATATGTACTGATCATGAGGAAGCATGGTAATTTAAATGAGCAGAGTTTGACACCATGTGCTGTCCGCTTATCAAGACTTGCCTATTAGTTATCAGTATTATAAGGATAGAATTACTAAACATCCATAGATTTATCATTCGATACAGAGTTGGAGCAAGGCTGTGTAAGTCAATTTAGTTTTTACATGACAATTGATCACATGTTGATCATGTTGATGGAGAAATAAATTTTTGCCTTATAGCGATGCTAATATATGTTATTGATCATTGGTTATGATCTTGTTCATCATGTTTATCATTAAACAGGATTGTTTTTTGTATTTCAGTGTCTGCTGGAAGAGGGTGGACCCAGTCTCAAACATAGAGATTGGTGGCAAGAAAGAATGATTTGACCACCAAGTTTGTCCTTCATTCTACATATCATGTTTTACTGTGATAATTAATCATATCATATATCTATATCATATCCTCTCATGATGGAGGAGGACAAAGACAAAACAGAATCTACCAGAACGCGTAGGAGGCGATTAAGTGAAGAATCCCAGCCTAAAATCCACAGTTCATCGAGGTCCAGGATCAGGGATATAACATTTAATGATGCTGTACCTAATGAACCAATACTCCTTTCGGACAAGACTCCTACAGGAGCCAGTTTTTCAAGAGAGTCTCGCTGGCGTTCAGCTAGGAAAGAAATTCCTGGTGATCCTGATGTGCCCCCTGTTCTACCTTCAGATCCTCCTCCACCAATGCCTGCAGAGACGAGTCCTAGATCCAAACCATCAGAGCCAAGTTCAGGGTCCAGATCTCAGCGCTGGAGGTCAAGGATTACAGATCAGTCCAAATCCTCTTCAGATAGATGTGAAACCTCTGATTCCCATCCTCCTGGTCTGCCTTCAGAACCCCCTCCACCTCTCCCGCATGAATCTATGTCTCAGTCTCCTAGAAGAAGATCTCGCCATGAGGATGCAACAGCTCCTGTACACTCAACAACCACCCCCCTGTCCCGATCAACAAGTGTCCCAACCACTGCTGATGGTCCTGATGAACCACCTTCAAGAGTCTCTCGGAGAAGGCCACCACAGATTGAACATGCATCCCGAAGTTTAACTGAGGATGCTCTGAAAGCTCTTCTCTCTCAGCCAATTAGTATCCCATCTCATCCACTGCCTCCACCTGTTTCATTTGATTTTAGTGCCCCAATTTCACCCAGGAGGAAATCTATGGATAAGGAAATGATAACTGAAACACCAACAGACTCCATTGTAGGACTTCCTGCTGCCCGTGCAGTGTCCTCAAGTTCTGGACCTAGGAGACAAAGACCAGCTGCAAGAGCTTTACAAACACAGAAACCTTTGGATAAAGAACCGGAAAATAGTTTACCAAAGACTGTTACGGAAGATGTTTCAGCAGAGAAATCATCATCTACAGAAGATACTGATCCTGCTGATTACATTATTTCTCAATTTCAGAGTCTTTCTATTACAAATTTGGCAAACAAGCAAGACTCACCCCCAAAGACTTCCAAGTCTGACTCTTCTCAAATGTCCAGTTCAGCAGAAACTGAATCATCTGATTTGTCCTTTAAGAGTTTATCCAATACGGCACTTGATCAGCCAGAACAGAAACCAGACAAACCTTCTGACAAGGCTCCTACTCCCATACTATCTGAAGCTAAATTGATCAGCTCAGCTAAGACTATATCTGAGCAACCGTCAAGAAGATCATCAAAGACTTTGTCAACTAGTGATGTTGCCATTGTAGAACTGTCTCAGCATTCTCCTAGATCCTTGACCCAACCTTCTGATAAATCCTCCTCAAGATCAGTCTCTCCCAGAACCTCCAGAACCATGTCTACAAGTGATATTCCTCTGGATGATGAAGAAATAGATGGTGATTATGGTGGAACACCTCCACGAAGTCTGTCCCTGAGTGGAGAACAGCTATTGTTGCATCAAAAGCAATCATCCAAGTTGAGCCACTCCCTTGACATGACATACTCGTCCTCAAGGCGGCAGATCCGGGGTCCAAGGGGACCAGTGGCCACTGACCTTGACCAAGCTGCTCGAGATCTTGATGAACAGAGACTGCGAGCCTGGTTTAAAACACCATCAAAGAAAGATGAGATTTCTCCGAAAGCAAAACCTGTACCTCATCCTGAAATGGAAACAGACATTGATGATGAGCCAGGTGAGAGGAAGTTCATCACCAACATCCACGTGGCGGGTGTGTCTGGAGAGTCTACTACAGACTCTGACAAGTCCAGCCCCAAGAGAACAACTCCACCTAGACAAAGCTCCAAAGGAGACGCTTACAAGCCAGTAAATTTTGATGAAGCAGTGAAGTACCCAAGAACTATCCCTGGCAAATTGGATTTCTCACAAATGGAGGTTTTTGAAGGTATGTTTTGATGACAGAATATAATAGTGAATGGGGGAGCTTTTCTTTTTGAAAAAAACCCCAACTTGTGCCATTTTTGTACTTGTCGGTGAATTTTGTATCCAATAATAAACACATTAGAAAAGAATAAGCCAACACACTAGGAACACTACATCAAACAGTCATAGTCCTACATCATGAAGCATATTCACCATGTGTCTACTTGTCTGAAGCAATCTGGCCTCCTTTGTATGAGGAATGTTGCAGACAAATAATATTTTCTAGTAAAGGAGTAGATGAGCATCTCCTTGTACTTTATAATTATAGTACTACTACTGGTTTTCCTCCTCACTATTCCAGGCCAGATGCTGACGCAATGGCTGACATCGTGGTTTGACGACACCCACTACCTACACACATTCCTGACGAAGCATGACCTGAAGGTGCTGGTGTATCAGTTCTGTACCCATCTGCTGGCAGCAGGGGTCATGAAGTCTCAGGAGGTGCAGGCCATGGAGACCGTCTTCAAGGTAGGAGGACCTGCGCAGAAAGATTTTCATCACAATCAAAGGCCAGATCACATATAACCTTGAAATTTGTTGTCACATTTTCAAGAAAAAAATTACATTCTATGAGATATAGTACCTACCTACCAACATGGATCTGTTTACTGTATATTTTGAACCTAACCTCTAATCTTTTACATTTCATGTATATAATTCCAATACACTTTTAGGTTCAAATTTCAGTTTGGGGAACTTTATAAAAATATTCCACCACGATTAAAAATCCACCATCTTGTATTGTCGACAAGTAATTGCAATAAATAATATCTATCATTTGAGTATGTCTATGTCACCTCATGACTTTTCATGCTTTTAAGACGAACCATTTTCAACCATTGACTACTGTGAATTGTCAACTAAACAGATATTATTTATCCAAAAATATCATAAATGTTATCAAAACACTCCACATTGCAAGCATCTTAAGTATATGTAAAGTAGTTTAAGTGTAAAAATGGTCATGCCTTTCATTTGTTCCAAAATATCACAAATAGCTCCTATGCCTTTTCAAGCAGGATCAGGGGGCACAGGTGGCCCTGTCGTCTAAGGCGCTAAGATTCGCTGTGCAGAGTTGTGTCCCTTGGGCATGCCAGAAACCTATGATTGTGGGTTCGAATCCCGGTTTGCCCCGATTATGTTTCTAGGTTTGTCTGAACCATACCTGTGCTCATGGGTTTCACTGAAGTGGTAAACGTCCGAGACCTGCATCACTTCAGGCTTTCCTCCCACATTAAGCTTACACGCCGCGATATAACTGGAATATTGTTAAAAGCGACGTTAACCCCAACTCACTCACTCACTCAAGCAGGATCAACTGGGCCTCTCCAGACAGAAAACTAGAGTGTGATTAACTTTACATAATGATGTTGGCCAAACACCCGTAGAGCTGTTTTCAGCTGGATGCTAATCTTGCTAAACATCACACCTACTGTTCTCCATGCAAACATTACAACCCAGTGTCATCACTCTCACTGTCTGACTGGGGGCTGTCATCAAGGTCAGCATGCTCAGGGAGGCTACTTCATGTAGATCAGTGTTCGACATTACGGGGGATCCTAGGTCTTTGAAGTTTGCCCCTATGGTACTTGAAGCTAGGGTCCCCCTACATCAGTGTACATGAGGGTAGTGACAAGGACAGCTTTATTTTCATCCTTAGTTTCTAACTCTGTACATGCACGAATATAGGGTAACGAATATGAATATTTATTCACGATTACAGTTCTAGGTCATCAGTTATGTATTATTTATTATATTCAGTGAAAGAATAACAAATTAAATTTTTTGACATGGTTTGACCATGTTGACAGTGGTAATGATTGTTATTATATTATACATTTATATACTGCACTTATCCAGGTACTAGTATCTGCTAAAATGTGAGTGACAAGTGACCACATTACTGTCAAATTAAATATATAAGAGTGTTGTCTTTGAAAAAAAATCTATGTATGCTTATAATTAGTTCTTATGGATATTTTTAGTTAAAAAAACATTTTATTTTTTTCTGTAAATATTCGATTCTTGTGTCTGGGAATAACAAAGTCAATGAACATATACGGTTCGATTCACCGAATACACGAGTGAACCGTAATAGCCCTAGTGTCATGGGATTATTTAGACCAGTGTTGAGATATATTTTGTTGATGTCTAAACATGCTAAAGACATTTGGTGTTAGCCACAGTTAAGTATGGGTGACTAGGTGACTGAGTCTTTTCTGTCATGACTATTTGCCCGGACCAATGGTTGATAGTGTGAGCTCTGATCCATGCCATTAGCAAGGATTAAGATACAGTGACAGCCAGGTCACAGCTGAGAGATGATCTGCCTAGTTGATTGCTCACTCAACATTCCCAGTACTTCCTACTATCTGTTGCCACAAGACCACCATTGTCATTGCCACAGCATGGATGTAGCAGGGCGTGGAGTCATCCTACAGATGACATCCTTACCTTGTCAGCTTGCTGATCGGGTTAACCTCTTTGGTCATATGGACAAGGCGTTCGACCTCTGATCAGAAGGTCCGTGGTTCGAATCCCATCACAGGACTCGGAAATTTTATGGCCGCTACATTGGCGCCCAACGTGTGGCTGAGCACGTTCATATAAAATTTGAGCAAAATAAGCCTCAGTTCCCTACTATGTGGCCCGGGACGTGCCTTCTGTTGACGGGGGAGTATGTAGCAGGGCATGGAGTCATCCTACAGATGACATCCTTACCTTGTCAGCTTGCTGACAGGGTCAACCTCTTTGGGCATATGGACAAGGCGTCCGACCTCTGATCAGAAGGTCCGTGGTTCGAGTCCCATCTTGGGACTCGGAAATTTTATGGCCGCTACATGGGCATGGTGATAAAACCACAGTTTAGACATGTTTAGATATTGCAGGCTCTGGAACCAACCTGTGCTTGTCGTAAGACGTGACTAAATTGGATTAATTGGTCAGACGTGTGACTTGGTTGATTGCATGTCATTGTACAGTGTCGGACACTGTTCATAATATCAATCAATGATTTGTCTGATCAAGACTTGATTTCTACAGGTCACGGTCTTACTGCTTGAATGTAACTGATTGTGTCATTAAACAACCAACCAACAAACTCGACCAATGTCTACTGGAGTCTCTAGCTTGTCTAGTAAATACTGTTTCAAATCATTCAAGTGACTGTTGACATGGTTGATGTAGGTATACTACTCAAGAGAAATTAAGGACCATCCAGTTCTTTTAAATTACTATAGTTAATCTGTCATCTGGGGTCCTTAACTTCTTTTAAGTAGTATATAAAGCTAAGATCAGCATGATCAGTATGCAAGTAGTTCACTTAACACCTTAAGGAATCTGTAGAGGGACGTCACCCTGACACTCGACTGCATGTAGTCAATGACCAGTATCTCCAGTTGACAGGTATATTATTTGGCTCTCGTGAGGACATAATGGAAATAGGCAACACCAGCATGTATAAATGCTTGACCCTGTGTAGTCTATGACTGTGATCCCTCAGTTGACTGGTCTATATTATCCTGAAGGCGACATATTGGAGATAAGCAACACCAGTCTATTGGTCCTTGACCCTGGATAGGCGTATTGTGTCTAACTTGATGGATCATTCAGTGTATAGCATGGTATATCAACAAGTTATACACCACCATAGTGGAGGTAAACATCCTCGTCCAGGTGAATGATGCTTCTCTTGTAGAGGGAGGTGTAAGATTTCAGTAGTCATGATTGTGAGAAGTTGGTGAGAGTCAGTTGTTGACTTCTATAATAAAACACAAAACATTTTATATGTCTTGCTACTTGGCATGGTTAGTGAGTAGTGTTCATTCGAATATTCTAAAAGGTGGGCTCCTTTGGGAATTTCAGACAATATGCTGCCATTTGTTGTTCAGAATCATTAATGAAAGATCATGATTTGACTATTCTGTTGGCAAATTATGCTTGATCGAATCAACACATGCATTGGTTCCATATTTGGAAACAAAACGTGCAAAAAAACTCTATCTACATTAATACATGTTGATAAAAACCATGAGGTTAGACTGCTTTACCAATATTAGTTTTTTTAAGCCGATGTTTCTGAGTCCTGAGAGCCAATCAAAGACCCAGTTTCAGGTGTCAGATACTGCTATCAGTTCATCCACTTCAAAGCTTTACAACAAAGCTACTAACAGTTGTGCATCGTTCTCAATCATCTAACCTGGGATGGTACGAAAGTGTCATACAATGCGATGGAGCTTGCTCAGTAACATGTTATATACACTCTGATAATTTCTTATGGAAGCAGCAAGGAGAGCATGTTAACAAATGTTTTTATTACAATTGCTTGTGAGTCATAATTGATATAGACGGAGCAGTCCAGTGATGCTTTGTTCTAGAATGATCACAGAGTGAGGGAATATTGTTTCATGGTCATGAGTAAATGAGTCGGGGCAGTAGTTTCCACCCTTGCCAAACTACGCTGGAATTTCTTGGCTCGATCGTAGCCAGTGGCTGTGATGAGTTATGTCTCGTCCATGTCCCTCCTATTGACCAATCAGGTTCCACCTCTCACATAACTTGCAATTGCTTTAAAAAAAAATGGCGGCGCCCAGTCAAGACGAACTGATCTAAAATCAAGATCTATATTGTAATAAAATGGATCTTACCTTGCAAAGTGCAGCAAATCATTTGAGCACCTTGAATAAAAACATGAACAGGTTTGTTCCAAATCTGTCAATGTCCAGTCAATGGGACACATGCTTTGCAAATCTGTCAGTTGGTTGGAATCTGCATGTTAAAATCCATGTTGTTTAGGAACCGGATGTCTAGCCTGTTGCACAATTTTGATTGGACTATGCATAGACTCGTTAGTTCAGCCTAAATGTAACTCCCAAATTCCAGCATTGTTAGGTAAGGATGGAAACTGGACTTGCCTCGGGAAGATGAGTAGTTGATAGCATGAACAGTGGTCAATGCCATAGATCAATCAGCCAGGGCACACCATGTAACCACCTGGGGGGATTCTGGGTTAGAACTGGTCCCCAACCTTTGCTGGCCATGAGAGGTGACCAAATGGATCTTGTGGTCAGTGACTTGGTTGATTGCATGTCATCGTAACCTAAACGTGTGGATTTTATCTAGCAATATCAATCACCAGCGTTAGAAATTGGCACTAGTCCTGTGGTCCTTACCAAACTGTCCAACAGTACAGGTATCCTAAGGACTAGTAGAAATTGGCCCATTTTAAGGGTTTGGCTATATGTTATCATTATAAAGACTAGTGGACAAAAACTGTTAGTTTCTAACCCTGATCACTGGATTGATTATTTAAAGGCTGCCATCATATACCTTGAATATTGCTGAATGCAGCGTTAAACAACAGATAAACAAAACAAGTCCTCTTTATCCAGTTCTCGGAAAATGCATGGGCTACTGAGGTCCTATTCTACACCAGAACCCCTAAAGGGTTGCAACAATGGAAGCATCAC